GGTTGTGGTACCTGTTGCTTGCTCCAGAGTCCGTACCACTCGTCTACCACAACTACCATTCATCTACCACTCTACTACCACCCCCCATGGGGCCCATACCAACCATCTCACCTATCATCCTCCTATTATATATGTCGTAGGTTTTTCCACCGATTTGAGCTGAACTGTATTTCACAGCAGGAAATTGGAAACGATTTATTTCGGTATAAGATTGATGAACAAGAGGAATGTTTAGTTACACACACACACACACACACACACACACACACACACACACACACACACACACACACACACACACACACCTTCACAAGTGTGACCCAGAGAGATAAGCACGCCAAAAAGATAGATACGAGATACTGGAGATACTATACAAGACGCAGAGATAAGCCGCGTGCACCACCAGCACATTGCTATCACCAGAGATACCTGTGTCCTAGATACATGGTGATGCTAGTGTGGGCGGGGTGATGAGGCTGATGATTAGATGATTATGGTGATGATTAGAAGATTTAACCACTTACTAACACACAAGAAAAGGCGACTTCGTAAATGCGAAAATACATTTACTGAATTTTTTTGTTTACAACTTACGGGGCTATTCATGCCCGTGCCACCTCTTGGGTGGCTTAATCTTCATCAATCATTAAATCAGAAGAATTTGTCTTTGAGAATGTAAGGAGAGACCTTGTGAAACGCATCACTGGGCGTCAGACCCAAATTAAAAGTAAAAATGAACTTTGGAGAGTTAATTTTTCCTCTTCCTGATTCAGTCAAGAAACACAGCAGGAATGTCGAGAAGATTCGTGCCAGAATGATTATATATATTTTCTCAATGTTTCTTATATTTTTCTTCACTGTTGATGGTAACTGAAAAATCAATTCTCCAAAATTCAGACTAGACTAGAAATAAAAATGAATTTTGGAGAATTGATTTTTGAATTACCTCCAACAGTGAAAAGAAATGTACGAAAGATTGAGAAAATTCGTGTTAGAATATTAATCTTACTTTTTCGGTCATATTAATAATAATATATATATATATATATATATATATATATATATATATATATATATATATATATATATATATATATATATATATATATATATATATATATATATATATATATATGGGCGGGGCAACATATATGCCGGTCCGTATATATATACGGACCGGCAACGTCGGTCCACTCTGGAACGTATTCAGGCAAGGAATAATTACACATACTTTTCATTCCTTGATCATGTCTCTGTTGTTCCACTTGGGTGTACTTCCTCCTGTTGGTCCCCCACCCCACCCCCCTCCCCCCACCGAGTAGAGAGGACACCTGTTGAGTCACTGCGTGAGCTGGGGGGCGGGGGAGGGGGTCCCACCCCCCTTGAATCTATGAAGTGAAAACTCGGTCACTGACCCTCTTCTTCCCCCCCCCCCATTCCGCCCCCCCCCCATTCCGCCCCCCCCCTTCTTCCTCATTCCCTTCTCTCTCCTGCTCCTCCACTTCCTCCTTCTTCTCCACTTCCTGATCTTCCTTCTCTTTTCCTTTCTCCACAAGAGATGAGAGGGGGAACGCGTTATTGTTGTTGTCGTTTGTTCAACAAACAGCTGTCGTTGAAGGAATGATTCTTCAGTCCTTCAGTGGTGACAATGCTCACCTGACAATGCTCACCTGACAATGCTCACCTGACAATGCTCACCTGACAATGCTCACCTGACAATGCTCACCTGACAATGTTCACCTGACAATGTTCACCTGACAATGCTCACCTGACAATGCTCACCTGACAATGCTCACCTGACAATGCTCACCTGACAATGCTCACCTGACAATGTTCACCTGACAATGCTCACCTGACAATGTTCACCTGACAATGCTCACCTGACAATGGTCACCTAACAATGTTCACCTGACAATGGTCACCTAACAATGCTCACCTGACGATGCTGACATTAACACAATGCCCGTTATTCAATACACTTATTCCTAATCTCCCTAAGATCTCCTGTTTCAAGTGTTTTATTTAACATTTAAGGTTAAGAGGCGAC